CCAATGCTGGTCTGTGGTCTGTGGTAAATCACAGAAAGCCAAGCAGCTTCAGGGGTCCCTAGGGGTCCCCGGCACCCGGAACCGTGATCAGGATAAATCTAAGGTCCCAAGTTTCAGTGGGGTCCTGATATAGCCCCTGCCGGGAATTCTAATTTGAAGTACAGTGCTGGTCTGTCACTCACTCAGTTGTGGATACCCACTGTCCTGGAATGCTGGGCCCTGGCTTCACCGTTTCAGCCTGCCTGCGAACCAACCACGGAGGTGCAAGAATTCCCCAAGGCCCTGTAGCCTATGGTGGAGAGATAATTTTCTACCTTTCTGCCGTGTTCCTGCTTCTACCTCTTATCCAGAGTGATGGGCGGTGAGTTTTGCTGCATCCCCATGGAGCACCGCAGAGGGGCTGTTAGACAGGGGTTTGAGGCACGTCAGGGAAAGGAAGAGTCAGGACGGCAGGCAGTAGGGTGCCCCGTGCGGCAGGGAAACCCTGTAGGTCCTTAGGCACAAACCTGGGCGAGATGTGGTCGGCCAGGAAACAGAGCATGCGCTTGCGCCCCACACAGTAGATATGATCATCCACCACGGCACACTGGAAGGCTTCAGGGTAGGGCAAGCGGTACGTGGCGCACTCATACCAGAGGCGGGTGCTGGAATTGCAGCGGTACACGCTGATGCCCAGGCTACGGTTGAGGTCAAAGCGGTAGAGAAAGCCATTGACGGCCACCATCTCAGCGGTGCGGTCCTTGCTGCCTCCCGTGGGGCCTGCCCACCAGCTCTGCTCCTGGGTTGAGAATCGGAGTAGCAAGTAGCGCAGGCTGCCTCCAGTGACAAAGATCTCATTGGCGCACACTGTGGCTGTGTGCGCCAGGGCAAATGTGTCATTCGGGAGCGGTGGGGCAAAGGTCCAGCGGTCCACTCGAGGGTCGTAACGCTCCACGGTGTTCAGACACTCACCTCCAATGGCATAGAGGTGCCCCTCCAGGGCCACCAGCCGGCAGTGTGGCCGGGCCTGGTTCAGTGGGCACACCTCACTCCAAATTGCAGTCAGTGGGTTGTAGCAGAAGACACGGTTGGAGGGTTGGCCCCCGGGTCCCTGGCAGCCAGACACCACGAAGAGATAATTAAAGAGAGTACAGATAGCACAACCCCGGGACATGGCTTCCACGGGCAGCTGGGCCAGCGGGTGCCAGGCATCCTGCACATTGTCATAGCAACAGAGGCTGCCACTGTCTTCCTGGGGACACACGTCGGCCACCACGAGGCGCTTGTGGCCACGGAACCGTCGCTGGAGGATCAGCTCTCGTTCTGTCCCACTCAGGCCCCCGTAGATGGCTGTGCTGCGGAGGACCTGGAGGTAGTTATCACTCATGACCTTGTAGGCTGCCTCCTTCAGAGCCTCTAGGCCCTGCCTCTTGGCCAAGGTTAGCACCTCGAAGCAATTGCCCAGGTCCAGGTGGACTTCCTGAGCTGAAGCCGGGGTGAGCTGGATGTGGAAGAAATTGGTGCCAGCTACGAGTTGCACATGGGGCTCCCCATGGCTGCAGGCTGAATCTATCTGCGCTTTCTGATCCAGGTGGGCAGGAGGGGGCGTCCTGAAGCCTTCAGGCTGCAGCTGGAGCTCCGGGTTCTCAGCGATCTGCAGGAGACTCACCTTTCTGCTGAAGCCTGGTGTGGAGGGGGATGGCACAGGAGGTGGGGTCGTGACTTCAGCTGTATTCTCTGGATTATCAGCTAGGTCTCTGGAGTCGGCTCCTGTGACCAGGGGCTCTGGCTCAGGCCCAGGGGATGGAGCATCAGTTAGAGCTGCCGTGAAGGGGACCGGCCTCGAGACAGCCTTGGATGTGGACTCCACAAAATAGTCATATACCCTGCCCTTCAGCTTGGGCCCCGGTCCCTCTGCCTTCTGTATAATATTCTCCTCCATCCGGATCCGGGCCACGGACGAGAAGGTGTAGGAGGCATTGGTGGCTCCTTCCCGCTGCTGCGTGGCCAGGCCCATGTCTGCAGCAGCTTGGAGGTCCCCAGCCTCTCCTCTGCTGACCCCTGTCACATGGGTGAAGGCCCAGCTCTGTCTCATGTCACTGCTCACCACTGTGGAATCAGTGCAGCAGTTGGGGGCTCCCGGGTCCCCAGACCCTGTTTGCTCTGGGGGTCTGTTGTCTGGCCATGGAGCTCTCTTGTCACCCACCCAGCAGCAGCCCACTCCTGGGGCAAGTCTGGCTGGGGAACTTATGGGTTCAGAGCCCAAATGAGGGAGGTGGGGAGGGCTGGGCTTACCTCTAACAGCTGTTCCTGCTTCTTCCTGGCCACCGCAGGGAGGAGGCTCCTGCTGAGAGTCTGGGCTCTGCCCTCCCTGATTCTCACCGGAGCCTTTCCTTGTGGACTCCCCAGATCCGGGGGTGACCAGTTGGCAGGAGTCTCCCGGGTCCTCCAAGCTGCCGTCCAGTGGGGCCCCAGCCCCCTTGCTGGTCTTCCTGCGTCTTGTCCCTCTTGGCAGGGTCCCCGGAGAAGCCCTCTGGAAGGCAGCTTGCCCCCAGCCCTCTGCGTCATCATCTGCCTTGTTATTTCTCCCTGCTTGCCCAGCTGGGGCAGGCCTGGACCTGTAGAGTTTGTAAGCCGCAGTCACCAGGAGCAGCGCAGCTGCGGACAGCACCACCTTGCTGGTCAGCTGCATGTCCAAATGCCAGTCGTAGGTCTCTGCTCCAGCTCCGGTGGGAAGCATGCTGGCCAGGGACAGAGGAATGCCAAGAATCTGATTAATGATTGCCCAATAAGGACCAGTTCCTGGATCCTGCTGCCGAGTGGGAGGGAGTCCCTAGCCAGTTCTGGCCAGCTGAGTTCCTGGAGCAGAGGTGACTTTGTGTTGGCTGAGGTGGCACTGGGGCAAGGGATGGTTAAGGTCACTGGATCTTTGGATCTTTCCCTGAAGTTGGGGGACAGGGGTTCTAACCTGAGGCTGAGCTCGAGATCAGCCTCCTGCCGCGGCTGGAGAGAGTATCAAAGAGGCAGGAAGCTCCGAGAAGATCTGTCACCCGATACCTGGAAGCGTGTGCAGCTGGATTCTGTGTGCAGTGTGTTTGTTTTCTCTTTTGCAAATGCTTGGGTGGGAGGTTTGGGCAGCTTTTGTCGTGGTTCCTGGGGCAGGTGGAGCCACAGGTCCTGGGCCAGTAGGGACGGTCCTGGCCCCAACAGAGGGGTCAACATTTAACTGACCAAGCGAGGAGGCAGTGGGGGAGGCTGAGCCTGGGCCAGCCGCCAAGCCACCTGACCAGGCTCTTGATCGCTTCTGCCGTCTGGGTCTGACAAGCTGAAGAGAAACCAGCCCTGAAGCAGATGGGGAAATGCATTGCATCAGAGAAAGTGAGACGCCAAAACACACCCTCTTCTTTAGGAGGAGCCAACCTCCTAGGCAAAGAGGTCCGTGGAGGACGGACAGACACCCCTCAACCCAAACCCACACACACGCTAACATCAGCACTGCAGACCGTGGACCCAATCTGCCCAAGTTTGCTATTCACCATGTGACCTCAGGGGAGTAACTTCCCTTCTCTGTGCCTCCATTTCCCTATCTGAGAAGTGGAGGGGGAGGGACGGCAGGTGGACCGGCTCAGGTTGTAGTTAACATGTGGGAAGCCCCTTGTTGCTAAAGCTCTAGGAGTCTCAGCTCTTCCTATCCCTGCTTCTCTGGGAGTCTCAGGGGCTCCTATCCCTGTTCCCTGCACACACCAGGGTCCTCCAAGGGTTCTCACGGGTGGGTGAAGAGGTCGCAGCTGCAAGGGAGTTTCCAAGTCAGTGAGCAAGAGCTGGGCCCAGCCCTGCTCCGCTGAACCCTCCATCCGTGCCCAGGATTCAGGTGGCTGAGCTGCCTAGATGCCCTTTGCACACGGTCTACTCTTCTTTTGGTGTTGTCTTCTGACTGCAAAGTGAAAATAAGATCCATTTGGAGGGCCCAGGAACTTGGTTCTGAGGGCTCTGATCGTGGGAAACGCTACACTTGTGTGTGTGTGTGTGTGTGTGTGCGCGCGCGCGCGCGTGTGTATACATACATGCCATAGCATACACGTGATGATCAGAGGCCAACCTTAGGAGTCTGTTCTCTCCTCCCACCGTGTAAAGCCTGAATACTGAACTCAGTTTGCCGGGCTTGACTGAGAGCTTCTACCCACAGAGCCATCTTGCTGGCCTCCTAGGATCCTTACTCCCTTATCAGGGTGACCCTCTACTCCACAGCCTCAGTTTACGCTTCTGTGTTATGTCCAGGTTCAATCAAACTCTAGGCCTCCCTGGGCCCTTCCATGGTGCCTCACCGAGCTCTTCGTCCTTCCTCAGCCTGTTTCCCAGGCTTTGTTCTATCCAAAGGCCCCGAGCAAGGCGTTTGTCTTCTGTGCGATTGACTCCTAGTGGCCCAGTGGACCTGGACTTAGTGGAGCAGATCCAGCAAGGGAGGGGCTGTCAGCTGAATCAGGTGGGCTTCTGGTCAGGTCAGAGCGCATGCTCACACATGAAGTGGTGGTCTCCACCTCTCAGCGCTCTACTTGTGAATGTTTGAGATGTGGCTGTATTGCTCCTCTGTTACAGGGAGGCCACCAGAGCAGAGAATGCAGCCATGAGAAGAGGGTCTGTCACTCATGGTCCTCAGGAGGGGGAGTGTCTACTCTGGGGGGGGGGGAGGGAGGCTCCAGGAAGGTCAGAGCACAGAGGGAGAGGAGAAGTCAGGGCTGAGCATTGATCGCCAGGAAGGTCAGAAGCCACAATTCGTGCAGAGAAGGCAGAAGAAGGGAGACTCTGGGGTCCCTGGAGGCAGCATCTCCCTTCCAGGGTGTTAGGATTCTAGTTCAGGCTTCCATCTGCAGGTGAACAAACGCTACCTAAAGGCCATAAATTACAGACTTTTTTTTTTTAAAGTCTCTGTTTAGAGAAAACCGAAATGAACAAATGAAGACAGAAGTGAAATTAAAAGATAATTGGAAGCTTATATCAGGCTTCTGTGGATGCGCCTGCCTGCCACCAATCTGGTCTCCTGCGTGCTCAGGCAGGATAAATTGAGAACTCTCATGGTAGCCCCAGGGGAAGGCTGAGCCCTCACGTGGATGCCACACAGATCAACAGGCCCATTCTGAGCAGGCATCTTTGCATCCTCATTCACTAGGCCTCTGCTGTGCCCAGCTCAGTTTCCCAGGGTGGAGCTCGCAATCCTGGTGACCGTGGTAAGTGAAACCCAGGACTTAGGAAGGTTGGTGTGGAGAATGAGGGACAGGGACATTGGAGAAACGTGGAAGACAGATGTGTGCCCTCTTCATGTAGAGTGAGTGCCTTCATGTGCCCAGACACATGAGGGAAGTGTGTGGATCTTTGGAGTGCAAAGTTCAGAGATGAGTTGACCCTGGTTTGGCCAATGGGGAAACTGAGGTTCAGAGTGTATGGGCCAAATGTGGGGGCTCACTCCTGGAATCCCGGCACTAAACAGTCAGAGGGAGGTGAATTCAAAGTCGGCTTCAGTTACATAGTGAAACTGTCTCAAAATCCACACTCACACACAATCATCCTCTCAGACCCTCCTAAGTTCAAACGAATTCACACTCAGTCACACACACTAATGCACACATTCACATACTCACATTAAGACTCAAACACACTGGGCAATGGTGGTGTGCGCCTTTAATCCCAGCACTCAGAAGGCAGAGGCAGGTGGATCTCTGTGAGTTCAAGGCCAGCTTGGGCTACAGAGGGAGTTCCAGGACAGCCAGGGCTACACAGAGAAACCCTGTCTCTAAAAACAAACAAACAAAAAAAGACTCAAATTCCTTTGTGTTCACAATACTTATACACTCAAATAAACACTTCTCACACAACATTCACCCTCATCCTTGCACACACACACACGCTTATTGAATCACACTCTCGAACATTTATAAACATCCTCACAAACACACTGTCACATCATAGCCCTGTGCTCACACATACCTTTTTACACACTCACAACACCCTCAAATATACACATGTTCACACTAACACACACGCACAACATTGTTAAACAATCACACTCACAATCACACAACCCTCAAACTCTCTTCCTCACATGTAATCACAGTCACACTAACACACTCTCACACATGCATAGTATTGCACACTTAAGTACACACTCAAATGCCAACACACAGTCACAGAGATACATGGATTCTTACTTATGTGCAATTCCCACACAGACTCACAGCTCACATCTATACACATCCAGATACATACTCTCAGATGTATACAAGCACAGTCTCACTCAGTTACACACACAGCGACATGAATTTACGCATACACAGTGTATGTGTATATACACTTGCCCTCCACACATGTTCTCACCTTCAAAACATACACAGACTCTCAAACGTTCACACAAGCGTGCTCAACAGAACCACATGAAATCACACCATCGTTTACACTTACACAATCTTACACACTCACATAACACTCGCATAGTCACAGGGACACAGTCTTTACTGACATGCTCTGACACACTCGTGCCTGCCCACAGAATCATACTCTCATACACTTGTGTATACATGAACTCACACAATACTCACCTGTGCCTTCCCGCTTACACTGACACGCCCACACAAAATCATACATACAATCACACACAACGGGTCTCACACACACAGACCACACTGCCACACACCATCACACACTCATGCACCCACACACTTGCACCCTCACTCGGTCTCATACCCATATTCACTTGTGCACATCCAATGGGCACTGGGTTTATAGATGTAGGTCGCTGTGCCTGGCTTTTGACACAGGCGATGGGGATCTGAAGTCAGGACCACAGGCTTCTTCAGCAGGCACCGTGACAACGGGACCATCACTCCCTTTAGAGATGAAGACGTTGCGACTCCTAGGAGACAAGAGTGCCTTCACATTCAAGGGCTCTTGCAGAAGTCAGTTTCCTCGGACCCACCACACATGTGGACCATGGACTGCCCATGTTCCAGGTGAGCCCAGATCAGCAGCAGTAACACCGGGACTCAGGAAAGGACAAGGCTCGCTGTGGTTGGTGAAAGGGGTCCTGGCCTGGAAGGAGTTTCCAAGTCTTGTCATGAAGGGCTATGCTGTTTAGATTTAAGAAATAAAATAAGCGTGGGTAGTGTGTGCCTTTGAATTTGATGGCGAAATTGAATGTGAAATTCATGGTTGCCATAGGAGACAGCAGCCTGTGTCCTGGTGTTTTCTTCGTGGGGTGGAAGGAGGTTAGGGCAGGAAACATCCCGAGGTGGGAGCACGAGTCAGTAAAGTCTTCCTGCGTGGCCAAGATCCTTCTTCACTGTGGACTTGGAGCCTGCAGTCTCACTAAAAACAGTAGCCAGAGCAGCGTTCACTGGGTTCCTTCACCATTTTGGCTCCATGCAGACACCACCTCCTCCAGCTCTCAATGGCCTGGCCAGGCTGTAGATTTACGTCCACTGCTGAGTAAATCATCCTTCAAGCCATTCTTGAACAAGTCTTGCTAATTGCCCCCAAACAGCATGGCCTAGCAGCTGGTTAGCATGATGGATTTGGGTTCTACCATTGTCCCCCAAATCAAAAATCTTTTTTTTTTTTTAGATCCTGAATGCATCTAGGGAGGGACCAGAAGTACCCAGACAGATGTCCAAGTCACCATGACCTTGAAAATCAACTGCACGACCCTGGAGATTGAGAGTCCCTGTGTTGTCTCCCATCCTGAGGCAGTGGCTCCTGGATATTTGAGTTCTTGTATGATCTACTTCCTTTTAAATTTATTTATTATGATGATTTTTAAATTATTTAAAGTGCATAGGTGTTTCCCCCACATGTGCGTATGTGTACCACACACACATGCATGTCTGGGAACCGTGGAAGCCAGAGGAGGGCAGTGGATCACCTGGAACTGGAGTTACAGATGGCTGTGAGCTGCCCCGTGGGTGCCAGGAACCTGTCACTTCCCAGGTATTGCTTGTGTGGTGCTGGGGATTGAACCTTGGGCTTCCTGCATTCTAGGTAAATACTCTACCCACTGAGCTACGTCCAGCCCCTGCTGATGGAAGTGTTCCTCTGTGCCCCACTGTTTCTCTGTCCCTCAAACAGGTGCGATGGTCCCCATTTTGTGGGGTTGTTTTTCAGGAAACAGGTCAGAATGGTCTAGAGGACTCATGGTGCCAAGCAGCCAATAGAGAGCGACCGCGGGTAGTTGATGGCTTAGAAGAGCAGTGCCCAGTCCTATGTCGTGGGTCTCTGGGACAGGACTTCATATGGATTTTCTCCCACAAATCTTCGCACCTGCCCAGAAGGCAGGATGGTCTGTATTTTAACAGGACACAGATGATAGATAGGTTGCTTGCCCAGAGTTGCACAGTTAAAAAGCAGGCAGTTGTGGGAGGCAAGCCATGAGCCTCCCAGGGCTACAGACTTGTTCCCAGCAGGGTGGCCTCCTCCTGGTGTCTTGGTCTTGGAACCTTCTAGCAGGGGCAAAGATGGTTTAAAGACACTGTTCTCTCACTCTGGATATCGAACTATTGAAACAGTGGACTCTGGGATCCTTGGAATCTCAGGCTGGGAGAAAGGAGAACCTAAAGCTTGGGCCAGCAAGGGAAGAAAGTGTTCTTCTAGGAAAGAGCTTTACAATTTGTAAAGACCACCTTACAGGAGAGGTAACTATGAGTCAACAGAGGGCAGGACCGCAGCTTGACCTGGACTCCTCAGATGTACACATCTGTGGCCTCTACCTAAGTATTAACCTCACATCTGGACCCCAGAGATGGACTTGGGGATGTGATTGGATGCCTTTGTCCCTTTCCTGATATGATCATATTGAGAAAGTCTCTGTTTCCTGTTTTTACTATTAATTTGGCTGCTTTAGTCAGCTTACCAGGAGCAGGTGGTCGAGTCTGGCTTGCTAAGGCACAGACTGTCTGTCATACCCAATCCAGTTACTGTCCCTCCTCTACAGGATCCCTGATGACTCCCACCCTGCCACGCTGGCCAGCTGCACTGCGCTCCCTGAGCCTGGCTGTCCTCCCAGACGTCTTAGGACACCTTTCTTCGGCTCTAGCTTTGCCTTTTCTGCCACAAGCTGGCTACAGAACGTCCCAGGGCTCCCCAAAGCCTCTCCAATCAAATCTAAATGGCTGGTCCATTCTTTCCAGTCCCTGTGATGTCCTGGCCTCATTTGTCACTGTCTCCAAATACCCGTTCTGCTTCAGCCAAGCTCATCTGTTTACTGTCCCGTTGTCTCTGCCACCACACGGGCCATTTCTCTACTCATGGCGCTCCTCCCGGGAACTTTGCGGTACTGCATTCACATTGGCAAAATCCAAGCTTGAAACCCAGTTTTGTCCTTAGAGCCTCACACTGGGGGCAGAAGTTCTCTGCTCAGACCCAGCCCTTAGGCACTCTGAATATATCCCTAGGTGTTGGGTTGTGGCTCATGGATTTTTGGAGCAATTCTGGAAGTCTCCAGCCCTGTGCTAAAGGCAGGCACACACTGAGTTCTCGAGCAATCCATGTTGGATTGGCTCCTCAGAGGGGTGGTAAGGTTTGAAGTATGAATTTTGAATTTCCTTTCTGCATGAAAAGGCCAAATAAGTTTAGAAGCACTGCACTGAGACCCCTGGGCCTCGATTTCTCCATCTCTAAAATGGGGCCAGTGAGTCTTTGCTTCTAATTGTTGCTGTTGCAATCAGTTAAGGATACTGTGACTTTGGGGCTCCAGCATCCTGTGCAGGGGCCGGGGAGGCATCCACAGTCAGAGAAGCAAAGACTTTCTGGGCTCTACACAACGTTAAGGCTTTAACATAGCACAGGTGCCCACCAGAACTGCTCCATTGTATACCAATGCTTTGCAGAGGGAAGGCACAGGGGGCAGAAGGTAGAGAGGGTGGCTAAGTGAGAAGAGGAATAAGGGCTGCAGGGGGAACAGCCTAGATGCTGGCCTTGTGCATTCAATCAGGAGTCAGCAGGCTGCAGAGGGGCCTGATCCCTTGGGGACTTGATCCTTTGGGGACCTGGTACTGGTGATGGAGGAACTTTGCTGAACACCGACTATGTGCCAGGCCTGAGCTTGGGACTTCCCATCCTTTGTTGGTCTATCCTCATGGCAGGCCTGTAGCAGACACAGGACAAGTGTCTGTTCAGTTATGGTTCAGATGGCTTTTCCTGGACAACCAGAAACATTTTATTTCCCAAACTCCTTTGCAGCTGGGCAAGAGGCTTTTGGCTGAGTCACAGTCTGAGAGGGACAAGCAGAAGTGACCAGGTGGCTGAGTCCATGAAGGAAGGGACGATTGGTTTTCATTCTGCCTCTTTCCTTCTCTCTCCTGCCCTGGTGGACAGGAAGTCCCCACGACACTGCTACATCCCCAGTCCACCTTGAAAATAGCCTACTGTTGACTTAGTCACTGAGGCATTGAGCTTGCTGCTTGCAGAAGCTTCTGGATTGATATGGAATTCTGTGGGTGGGTGGGGGTGGGATGCTAGGGGAGCTGAGTTTTAATGGATATGTGAGGCCCTCTCAAACCACGTCTGTTTGTACAAAAGCAGGAGTTGGGTTAATGGACCCCTGTAGAAGTGGTCAGAATGAATTCCTAACTGGGTAGAATGACAGGGGACCAAGCAAATGGTGGCCCTTGAAGCAGGAAAGATGGAGGTGAGAACCAAGGGAGGTATCTGAGGAGACAGCTCAGTCTGTAAAATGCTCCCCATGCTTTGAGTTCGGTCCCTGGAACCCACGTAGAAAGCAAGCCCATAGGTGAGCACCTGCAACTCCAGTGCTGGGGAGGGGAAGGCAGGAGGACCCTGGGCTGGCCAGTGTAGCGCATCAGTAAGCTACAGGGTCAGTGAGAGACCATGTCTCCAAACTGTGGTGGAGAACAATTGAGAAAGATACCCAGTGCTAACTTCTGATCTCCACACACGAACATATGTGTCAGAATGCACGAGAGAGAGAGAGAGAGAGAGAGAGAGAGAGAGAGAGAGAGAGAGAGAGAGAGAACACTAGGGAAGAATATTTTTGTTTTGGAAATTTCCAGAAAAACCCAGGTCTGGTGGTCGCCTCAGCAGTCACCAAGCACTGGAAGGAGACCAGAGAAGTAACAGCTATCCCTGAGGAGAGGGGACAGTTTAAACCACAATCCCTTGATCTCTTGTTCAAGGTCCCCAGATACTACCCCAGGGAGAGTTACTTTTGGTTTTCTGGGTCCCAAGTTCTAATCATTTCGTGTTCAGTAGCTAAAAGATGGCATTCGACTTGTGCTTGTGGCTGTCTGCTGGGTGGGTTCCTCTCATGGCCGTCTACGTGGAAGCAGATGCACACTGCCCATCTGACACCGTGTCTTCCAAGGCCATGGTTTCCACCTGTGACACCACCTTAGAAGAGCTCAGCCACCAGCCTGCCTGCCTGCCTGCCTGCCTGCCTGCCTGCCTGCCTGCCACAGTTCCTAGGCTATCCTCAGTCAGAGCTTCTCCAAGCTGGAGGGACCTCAGACAGCCCAACCCTGGGACTGCCGGTGAGAGAGCAGAGCCCATGCAAAGGGCTGGCTTGCCCCAAGTCAGTGTGTCTGGCTGGACCATTGCTCCAGGACCCTGCAGGCCTCACTCACCCAGGTCTCCATGTGCTCTGGGATGGATCTGCCCCTTGGTTTCTACCCCATTCTCCAGATAAGCACCCCCTAACTTCACGAAGGGGAAAGACCCGAGAGCAAAGAGACTTTGTCTGAGTCTTTTCCAGGAAGTGGAGGAGCTGGGCTTCATGCAAACTATTGTTCTCCTGCGGGATTCATCTCTCAGGTGCCTTCCCCCCACCCCACCCTCAGGAACAGCTGAGACAGAGCCAGGCAGAGGAAGTGACTCAAAGCTGGGCAGGCTGTGCCCACAGGCAGGTCCTGACTCCTCGTTGGTAGCTGATGAACACTTGCTGAATAAACAAATGAGGGTATTGATGCCAGGCCAAGAAGCCTTTTAACAATCACCAGGGCCATGGGCACGAAGAGCCCAGGGCAGAACTCTATGATCCCTTTAGGAACTGAAAGGCTGTGAGCCTGTGTTCCCAGAGCTAGGATCCAGGGGGAGGGTGGGAAGGTCATGGACAAAGGGAACACCTGGCCCTGACTCTGGAAGACCCCACTTTGCCCAAAGATCATGGAGGAAGGATAACCTGGCCCAGCTTGCCCAGAGGTTCCAAGATAGGAGCCAGAGTAGGTGCAACCACAACAGCGTGAAGGTAAGCGCCCATGACAAGGACGGAGGACATGAAGGGCTGAGCCTGCTGAGCTCTCTAAGATCAGCAATGTGTTCTTTCAAAAGGCCACTCAGGGAGCACGAGGGGCAAGCAGGTTGCGCAGGGTTGGATGAGCACAGGAAGCTGAGAACAACCAGCAGAAGAGGCCGGGAATACGGTTTGGCTGGCGACATGCTTACAATGTGGGGGTGAAGATCTGGCTTCGATCGCCAGCACCCATGTAAAAGCTGGGTGTGTTTGTGTTCTACCTGTGTGCCCAGCAGTGGGAAAGCTGAGTCAGGAGAATCCCCGGCTCGCCAGCCTACTCAGTGAGTCCCAGTGAGGTTCCAGTGAGAGACTGACTCAAATACAAAGGGGACAGCTCCCAGGGAACTATACCAGAGGTTGACTCGTGGCTTCCACATACGCGTGGACCTCAGCCTACACACACACACACACACACACACACACACACACACACACACACACACACACACACACAAAGCCACATGCTCCTAGGAGGGTTGAGCAAATCTGAAGACTAGAAATCTCCAAACTCAAGATCACCTCCCTTTGCTTCAAAAGCAAAAG